ATTTCACAGAAATAGAGGAAGATAATCTTAATTCTTATGTCCTCTTTTTTTTTTTTTTTTAAATAAAAAATAAAAAGGGAAGACTTAGTTTGTAATTCTAAAAACATTTATCATAAACTCAAAAAATATATTACATTTTTCATATAATTATAAAAGATTATTATCTAAGAACAGGCCTTTTTATAATTGAATTTCAAAAACCAGTTTTCAGAAAAACTAAAGTAGAATTTTTTGTACAGTTTTCTGTTTTTCTGTTTTCCGAAAACTGTTTCCATAATTACAAATCAGGCAAGCCAAAGTTTTTTTTATTCATTCTGCCTCCTTTTTTTTTTGAAGATTAGAGGAGTATTAGGATTTTGTAAAATAAAAAATTACATTAGTGAAGCTCATTATCTATGGTTGAAAGACTAGCCTTTTACAATAAATTTTTCTACACTCAAACCTCTCTAATTAATGGATAGTGCTTCAGTTCTGTTCCATCAAGAGGTGTCCTGCACACTAACGTGTCCTAATAAAAGATGCATGTGACATCTCTTTTAAACTTAAAAAGATACAAAATATGAGTCATATCTATTTTTTAGAGTTAAACCTAACAAATCTATTTTTTTTTTCTCTCTTTACTCCCATATGTGTCTCGCTTCGTCTGCATCTTTCTTTTTCCTTAGCTCTAGCTGCCAATCATTCCAAACCTAATCTTCCCTACCAGGACCTCCACCACTCCGCTTTCAGATTGGATTTCTATTTCGTCTTAGCAAGGATTGATTTATTTTCTTGAAACAAGTATGCTAAAACATTATAAAAATTTGAGGTAGATTTTGAAAATGGAGAAATATAAATGGTTACTTCAAATTTTTTTAAGGATAATTTTCTATCTTAAGAAAATTAAAAATAACAGAAAATGTAGGAAAGACAATTTTTTATGAGTTCTCTAGAAATATAATTAAAATAAGATACATTCAATATTAAGATTTGGAATGATTGGTGGTTGGAACTAAGAGAAAAGAAAGATATGGATGACAGATACACATATGGGAGCAAAGAGTGAAAAAAAAATAAATATGTAGGGTTTAACCTTAAAAAAATGAGTATGATTCATGTTTTTTATTTTTTAAAGTTTAAAATAGGTACAAACTTTCTCCGAAGGAACAAAATTGAAGTATATATTATTCTTAATTAATTACCTTTAGATGGTGCGCTATTAATGTTTAAAGATGTGAGTCATGATTTTGCTTCATCGTGGATATTGTCCAAATTACACTTTAATTAAATATGTTAGACTCATATGCTCCTTTTGTTTCATAAATAAAAGTCTTTTTTGGAAATCTAATTTTTTAAGCAACTCTTTAAAATATTTTTTTTATTGTAATGATAAAAAAAGATAATGAGTTTATGATGGGTTTACATGCTTTTTTTTATTATAGTGATAATATTTTATGATGGGTTTATATGTTTTTATAATTTCAAATTAGAGATATTCTATTGAATTTAAATTGAAATAATTATTTTGAAACAATTAAAAATTAAAAAGTGATATATATATATATATATATATATATATATATATATATATATATTTAACTATAACAATAGAATGCTTTACACTTGTAACCATGGAAATTAATTAAATAATTGGATAAGATATGACAGAAAGTTCCTTTGCAGAACATCTAACAGGAATCAAATCGGAATCTTTAGGATTTGACACAAGTCAAGCTAGATATTTTTTTTTCCCCAAACTCTAGTTAGCTTTTCACACTACTTCTTCATTTCTTTTCGTCTCTTTTTAATTTAATTTAATTTATTATTATTTTTTTTTGTAATATCATGTGAAAAGATTCTACTTTTAAGTTCCTTTTATTCCGACATAAAATTTTCTTTTTAAAAAATATATTTTTTTTAGATAAAATATATTTTTATTTTTATTTTTATTTTGTCGGTATTTGGTAAAGGTATACGTCAAGTTAAAGTAAAGTTTATCAAGCACGACATGTAAAATAATTTGTCGAAAATTAATAAATAAATTAATTTTCTTAAATTTTAATATTTTTATCTTTGTAAATATTTTACGACAACCAAACAACAGAAATAAAAAAAATATTTTCTGAAAAATATTTTATATCCAAACAAACAAAACTTTAAGTTCAATTAATTCACACATTATTTTTTATTTTATTTTTGTATGTATGAGTTATTACACAGTAATTAACAGGCACCTGCAAATGCCTTCCTAATCTAATCTAACATACCTGCCCAAAAAATAATAATAATAACTTACCACACCTCCTATTGCCTCGATCTTACATAAGAAATAAGAACGTGTGCCATTTCTGAACTAAAATTACCGCAGTAAAATTTCACATTATTTCAACCCTTCGCAATTATGAATGAGCACATCTAGATTCTGTAGTGATGGGGACCAAGTACAATAATACCAACCAGATGGTTTGATGATAAGAATTAATATTACAAGTTGTGTAACTTTTTTAAAAAACAAAATATGCTTCGTTATCACATTCCAATCCAATTGCTACAAGAAAATGAACCCAAATTAAAATACAATGAGAGACTTGTTTCACATCGAATCGAATCTGAATAGAAAGTAAAATTAGTATAACTGAGTAAATATACACCACTATTCAACAATATAAGCTTTTGAATAAATCGACAAGCGCCAATTCGTTATAATTGATATCAGAGTCAAATTCAATCTTTGATATAATGTTATGTCAAGCACATTGTTCAAAAGGCTTTCGGATGAACTATTCAAATAAACATAATGAATCGACTATAATTAAGGCGTTGCGAGTTCCATACTAACTTTAAACTTCAAAAAAAAAATTAGATGGGGTTGGTCCAATGGGAATTAGGGTTCCATACCCAAAACTAGATTAACCCAAAATGTCGGGTATGGACAGGCTTTACCCACATCATGTAAGGTCACTTCAACTGTTGGAAAATGGGTACCAGGGGGTTGGTTTCCCACTTCCCAAGGGTCCCTAACCTATAAAACTGCCGACAACTAACTCTGTAAACAGGATGTCCCTACCTCTTAGCATCCAAATCACTACCATTAATTATAGTTACATTCCAACATTAAATACTTCAACACGTGGCATACACATCACCCTCCACGAAACCAATAATTTATACTCCGAAAGAACCGTACTACAATAAAATAAAATATAAGAAAAAACAAAAACTCCGTACAATTCTACGAAAGAAAAATTATTAGATGCTGAAGAAAAATTATGAGATGATCATCACCTGATATTTGGTTTAATAAAAAACACTTCAATTAAAAAAGAAATGTTTAGTATGTGTTTTATTTTTGATATTTTTATTTTTATCATTGCAGTGATCAATGAAAAAAAATATATTTGATAAAAATTATTTTGTTTTGCACAATTTTAAAAGATTTTATAAATAGTGATAAAAAATTAAAACATTAATTTAGCCTTTTTATATATCTTCGCATTATAGTGTTTGGTACCAAAATGATCAACAACAATTTTATTTTATTTTTATAAATTCTTAAATGATATTTTAAAATTAATCATTACATTTTTCAAACTTATAATATTTTTTTACTAAATATGTTTTATGTCGTTGTTTTAAAAAACTTACAACAGTCAAATATTATCAAATATGCGTCTGATTATAAAATGTCAAAAACAAAAATATACTAATAGGCAAAAATAATAATAATAATAAAATATAAAATATAAAAAGTTTAATTAAATATTATAAAAAAATTAAACATGTATTTTGATTGAACCAAAGATTGTTCATTGTTGGCACGTAATTCATGCATCAACCCATTCAACTTCTGAACAGAATGATTTTTAAGCTGATACCGACATGCAGTTGGCCCCGCTGTTTAGATATTTTATTTGTTTTAATCACCTTCTTCCTTCTAAATTTTTTTTTTTTTTTTTTAACAAGAGAATGAAACTCCCAAGTGAGTTTGCATAATTAACCATTGAATTAAAATTAGAGTAGAGGTCCTAAGTCCTATATATCATAGTGTTTTCATGCTTTTCCTTTTATTAGCAAATCTCAAAAATATTATTCTGTACCTGATAAATAAATAAAAAATAATATTTACATCATGTGTTACAGTAAATTGTTAATCCTACTTATTTTAATTAATTATCTATGTAACAAATAAGGGAGTGAACGCTCTACTTAATCCTATTATGTATAAATAATCAAATAGAAACATTCGCTATTGCAACAAATTGGTACAAATATAACTACTCTAAATAAAATTAAAAAATCTTATTAAAAGAGATGTGAATTGGTAACTTGAATAATTACATGACATATTTCTTAATTTAATAATTGATAGTATCGGACATTACTCTATCAAATATTTTACTGAATCTAAACTTAGGTTTAATTCAGATTCTCCAATACCTCAATTTGAGTATAAACTAAATTTTATTTGGACCGAAAAAATTCAACCCCATGACCGAAAAAATAGTACCCGGACTGAAAATTTTCAATTCAAAGCCCGGGAAATAATACGTTAAACTTAATAATCTATAAATAATTATTCACAACGAAACCCATCACTCCTCTTATATAAAAATGAATTTCTTATTTCGGAGTTAGTTCATATATCACTACTCATTGTTTTATGAGGTGTGAATATTATATTCATATTCCTTTAAATTGAGAAATACAAACAATGTACTAGTACTTCTATACATACACACATACCACATATATACACACACACTACTATACGTATTTGTTTTGAAAACTGAGATTAATGAAAGAACAAGAAAAGTTGCATTTACTGACACGCCGTTACTTTTACAAGATACTAGCGAATTTAAAGTCACCGTAAGGTCCGAGACGTTACTTTTTCATTTGCTTGTGTTTTAATTTAATTGAGAGAGAGAGAGAGAGAGAGAGAGAGGACACGTAACGCAAAACGCAGGGAACAACGGTGACAAATAAGCAAAAGGAAAGAGACGGTGGTGGAACCTTCAGAAACAAATTTGTTGAGTGAGTGAGAGAGAATATATATAGAGAGAGAAAGTTGGAATATTTATATATATATATATATATATATATAAACATCAGATCTTTCATCTTTCTCTTCCTCCTCCACCCCCACCTCCATTGCGGCTTCACCGAGAATTTTCTCGAGAATAACTCGGAAATTTTCTCGGAAACAACTGAATCTCGCAAATACCTGTTTATATCCTTACCGTTTCGCCAGCACGCTGTATCTAGGGAATAGCTCTGCCAGATCTCTCGTTAGGGTTTTCGGGAAGGTTAGTTTCGATTCTTGATTCTTTTTGGCTGGAAATTTGTTTTTTTTTATATATATACACATGTTCAATACTTCAATCACATATTTGTATGTGTACGTTTAGTTTTCAGATTAGAGAAAAAAAAAAAAAAAAGTGTTTTTTTGTTAAATATAATGTGAGATCTGATGGATTGTAAACTGGCATTGTAGAAGTTTATTGATTTCTCATTTCTTGGAGATTTAATGTTGCATAAAAGTGAGCATCGGTGGTCATATACTCTGGTTTCATTGGTTTTTCTAGGTTTAATAAGAGCTCTTCATCTGATGATTTATGCACATTTCACCTGAGTTCGAGTTCTTTCAGCAGGAATTTTAATAAATACAGGACAGAGCAATTTATTTCGAAACGAAAAAACTAAGCATGGAAGATGGTGAAGAATATGTGATTATGGTTAAAATTGTCTCTATTCAAAGAGGAAAGTGTCGATTTGTGGTTGTAGTCTGCATTATCGCTAATAAAAAAGGAAAGCATCTATCTATAGTTGTACACTTTTTTTGTTGCATTCAGCAGATTCAGATCTGTTTATATCTCAACATTATTGTAATACTGTTTGGAATGGTAGAAATTCTGTTTGGCTATAGTGAGAGTTATCAGGCTAAGTGGAAGTAAAAGTTGTCTCTCTAAAGTTTTGAGTTTCCCCTGGAACTTGGGGGAAATTATTTGAGGAAATGGAAGGAAAACAGGGTTGTACTGTATTTATTTATTTATTTATTTTTCATGGGGAAAAAATATAACTGAGAAGCTGTCACATCAGAGTGAAATTGGCTCTTTGGTCTTTATTGGGTTTACATTGATTGCACTAAACTGCATCTCTTTTAATTATTTCATGTCATTGATTTTAGTTATAACTGGATATTGTTTTATCTAATTGACATTTGGATACTTATCTAGTGACTTCTGAATTTGATGGTGTAGAGCAATATGGATTTTGATAAGTTTGCTGGCAATATTGTTTCTTCCTCTGAAGCTTAGGTCCAAGGCCCTTCCTCTTGTGCCTGACTGCAATGTCAGGTATGTGTACATGTTACATAATTTCGGAGTAGGGTGGTAAAGCTACTAGCCTCTCAATGGTAATGTCATGCCGTTATTTACTTATGAAGGTATGCCTAACTGGTTTCCTTAATCTGTCATTTTCTAGGCCTAGAAGGATTGGGAGCTTTTGATGAAATTAGAGAAAGGAGATCAGATTTTGAGAACTCTGAAGATGAGAGACGGCGATCTAAAATTGGTGCTCTGAAAAAGAAGGCGATAAATGCGTCAAATAAGTTCACTCATTCTCTCAAGAAAAGGGGGAAAAGGAAAATTGATTACAGGGTTCCTTCAGTTTCCATAGAGGATGTACGTGATGCAAATGAGGAGAGTGCTGTCCAGGAATTGCGTCAAAAACTCCTTGACAAAGATCTGCTCCCACCTAGGCATGATGAATATTACACTTTGTTGAGGTCAGTCAACTATTCACTTCTTATTTTTTTAGTTTTTGGTAGGCATTAACTTCTTAAAAGCAAGTGTATTCACCTCGGTTTTCTAATTCAACTGATCCAGGGTACTTCTGAAAATTGAAGTGAAAAACTATTGTGTTCTACATATGATTTGATAATAATTAATTGTGCACATGCACTTCCTTTTATTAACACATGCACAAAATAAGTAAACTTTAGAATTTAGTAAATGACCTCTTAATTTGACGATGTTGGTTATATCTCCATAATTTAGGACCAACTCATGTGCTGAAATGACGTGCGAGCCAGTGGTTTTGATAGGGTTGTTTATGCACTGTCCAAGTAGGTCAAGTGGTATCTAGTTGGTTTCTTAAACTTGATGCCTGGGGCTCAAGTTCCCTTGTTGCATAGTCAAATTCAATACGGTTGTTTGTGTGGTAGCTTGTGTATATAATGTGGTGAACTGGTTTTGAATTTTCTTTTTTGGGTGCAATTTTCCTTTTTTTAATTATTTATATCCACCATCACTGATTTAATCCGAACTTGTTCATCTCCTTTGTGTAGATTCTTGAAAGCTAGAGATTTTAACATTGAAAAAACAATTCAGATGTGGGAAGAAATGCTTAATTGGAGGAAAGAGTATGGAACAGACACCATACTGGAGGTAATTACATTGATACACCCCACCCAACTTAAAATTTCACATTGAAGTCTCTCGGCTTGAAAACCATGATGTATTTTATTGTGCAGTTAGATAAGAATACCAATCAAACTTTCTTCATATGCCATAGTTTTTTACTTTTTATTATACAGTGAATGCTTCAGTACAGTTTTAAGAGTATTCTTTATTGCATTCTTATAAGAAGTTCAACAGTAACAGACTTATTTTAATGGCACTGCTAATATACTCATATTTGAACTTCTGTGAGCACTTCCGTTGTATCTGAGCTCTGAGCTCTCCTGGTCATCTTATGATTAGAAGGCCCATATTTTTTAACATTATATCTATTTTTGTTACACTTTTTTGCTTTTTGACCTTATAATCATGTTAAACCAACATATATCAGGACTTCGAATATGAAGAGCTGGAAGAAGTCATGCAATATTACCCTCACGGCTACCATGGAGTTGATAGGGAAGGCAGGCCTGTTTATATTGAGAGACTTGGGATAGCTCACCCAAGTAAGCTTATGCGCATCACCACAATTGATCGCTACTTGAAATATCATGTCCAAGAGTTTGAGAGGGCCCTACATGAGAAATTCCCCGCATGTTCGATCGCGGCAAAGAGGCAGATCAGTTCAACAACAACAATTTTGGACGTGCAAGGCTTGGTATGTTGACCCTATAACTGGATAGTCTTTGCCAAAACAAATGTAATATGTTGCTGCAAACTTCTAGAGTTTTTTAATTTTATTTTTTATTGACAGATCTTCATTAGCTTTTAAGAATATGAATGTAATATTGATTTCTAATCATTTATGGATACTTGTTCACTTGCACCTTTAATAGCTAGAATAACTTACCAACGGGCCAGTGGCCTAGCGGTATTAGCCTATTACTTCCCAAAGGGAGGTCAAGGGTTCAGTTCAAGTCTTGGAAGAGATGTGTGTGTGAGTACCAACTAGGAAAAAAAAAAGAAGAAGCTAGAATAACTTGGTGCTCATGGTTTATTTACCAGTATCATGTTAAATGTACAGAGAAAAAACTGAATGGGGCATAAAGAAGGAATTTTTATTTACCAGTAGAATCTTCAGAGATTTTCTTCCTGCACTTGTGACCAGATATTGTCATGCTTATGTATTGAACTTAAGTTGTAATAGATCACTATATTGTGTTATACAGGGAGTTAAAAATTTCACTAGGACAGCTACAAGTCTCTTGAGCGCCATGACAAAAATTGACAACAGTTACTATCCTGAGGTATCCTAACTCTTTAAAGTGAAGTTTTATTTTCCATTGTTGTATTGGCCTACAATTACTTCTTAAATTGATCTACAGACGCTACATCGAATGTTCATTGTTAATGCCGGTCCTGGCTTCAAGAAGGTGCTTTGGCCTGGTGCACAAAAGTTCCTCGATGCTAAAACTATTGCAAAAATACAGGTAAAGGACATGATACCTTATGCTTTGGCATCCGTTTGTCTATTTGCTTCAATATTAACTATTAACTGACTTCAGACTCATATTCCAAACTTTTAGGTGCTGGAACCTAAATCCTTGTGCAAACTAATTGAAGCCATTGACTCAAGGTTGGTTTGTTTTCCCCTGATTTTTCTTGTTGATTTTCACCGATAAGGGCTTCTGAGTCCTTGATATTTCTTTTATTCTTATTCAGTCAATTGCCTGATTTCTTGGGTGGCTCATGCGCATGCCCTGCTGAGGGAGGGTGCCTTAGGTCTCATATGGGTCCATGGAATGATCCTGAAGTTATGAAGGTATTCATACTCTAAATTATGGGTTTTTTATTTTTTATATATTTTTATATTATATACCCTAAGCAAAATGTATGCTAGCCTTGAAATTTATCTTGCCTTGGTAGTTTGAGATTAACCAAACAAATTCTGAGTTAGGACTGTTTGTCCCATTTGTAGCTTGTACATAATGCAGAAGCAACATTTGTGAGGCAGATTACCAGAGTATCTAGTGGCCAACAGAAAATTGGCTCATATATTCAAATACGCCCACTGAAGGCAAGTTTCAGGCTTTCCATATGCAGTATGTTGATGTGTCATTATCTTCTTTTTGTTATCCTATATAAATATAATTTAATTTGGATTACCAGGGGAGAATTAGTGATACATTAACAGCAGAATCAGGATCAGATGTTGATGATTGTTGGTCTCCACCTATACAAAGTAGTTCCAGGTTTCCACGACTAGAACCTGTTGATGAAGAAGTGAGTAATGGGACCAGTGAACTTTTAATGTTGGGTGGCAAGTATCACCCATGATCTTGTGAAATCTAATATGTTAGACTAATGGGCACAGAATGAAACATAAGTAAATGTGACTTCCGATACATTAGTCTACACACATTCTCTCTCTCTCTCTCTCTCTATGTATATATATATATATCTGTGTGTGCGTGTGTGTATTATCTATGTGTGCTGCATGTGCATGCATCTAACTTCACGTTGTTATTTTTGTAGGCCAAGACATCCGATCCAACTGTCTACTACAGTTGTGATGATCATTTCAATCAGGTTGATGGAGCTATTGACACCGAGCGAGGACTCGGATGTTCTCAGGACCAATCACTTGAAATCCCCGGTATGCGGGATTCCAGAGAGGCAATACCAAATTCAGAAGGTATTATCAACAATAGCATGCTGTAATTATTTTTTGCTCTTTCCTCAAAGGGTATGCCAAATGTCATTCCTTTGTTGGAGGTTTACATCAAAAAGAAGTTGAAGTGTTTTGGTTGGATTTGAAATTCAAAATTTGATCATTTGTTCAGAATTATTATGTTCTTGGTATCTGGTCTTTTAGAGGATAATCAGTTTTAGTTGGTAGTAGTGGTTATGACTTGAGTTTTGTGTTGCAGTATACAAGGGAAAAACTATTTTTTTTTTCTTTCTTTGTGCCTTTCCTTCTTTCAGACTAGTTTTGTAATATTAATTATTGTAAAATTAGAAAAGATTTCCAACTCATTCACATGTCTTGAATTGTAGCGGTATAGATTCATATGTTTATGTTGTACATGAATGCAATTTTCCAATGCATTCATGTATTCAGTATGAGAATGTTAAGATAGATTATAGGGTTGACTGGAGGAGATAAAAAATTGCTGTGTGAGATGCCAGTAAGAAAAGGAATATTAGTTTATAGAGGAAGTTTGAGACTGAGAAGTGGCGGCAAAACTAACATGGGGAGGAGTTATTAGAAAGGATTTAAATTTTTTAATATAATTGGAGAAATGATTTTCCAATGCATTCATGTATACAGTATGAGAATGTTAAGATAGATTATAGGGTTGACTGGAGGAGATAAAAAATTGCTGTGTGAGATGCCAGTAAGAAAAGGAATATTAGTTTATAGAGGAAGTATGAGACTGAGAAGTTCAAAACTAACATGGGGCGGAGTTATTAGAAAGGATTTAATTTTTTTAATGTAATAGCAGAAATGACTTGTAATAAAAAAATATATATATGGAAAAAGAGATTTCATGTAGATGACTCCCCATTCATATGGAATACAAGCAAGGATGATAATGATTATTATAAAGCTTCTTCTATTTCTTTTGTCCTTTTTTTTTTTTGGGTACTTCCAGAAGGCAAATTAATTTTCAAGTGCCGATTGGTTGCAACAGAAAATTAATTTGAATCGTAATGTAATAGATTCCAATTTTATAGTCACAAGTTGTTACCTGTCATCCCTATCTTGGGAATTTATCTGATATATATGTTTTCAGACAATCCAGCGACAAAGAGGAGGTTCCGGTGTATGGCAAGAACACTGATATCTTGCATGTTCACACTGCTTGCATTTATTGTTAGCCTACCTTTTGAAATTTGGAGGCGGCAGAACAACATTCATCCATCTAATGTGATAGAAGACAAACCAGACAGCCCTGCACCTGCTGCTGAAGTTGTCAGCGAAGATCGTATCCTTCCATGCTTACAGCGCGTTCAGAGACTCGAAACGTTAATGAAAGAACTCGACAAGAAGCCTGCTGAAATCCCTTTGGAGAAGGAGCAAATGCTTCTGCAATCTTTGGATAGGATCAAGTCTGTTGAGTATGATCTTGAGAAAACCAAAAGTGTAAGCCTGTTTCTACTTGGCTGAGATGTCTTACCATTGGAAGCTTAAATATATTGATTCAGGCTTATTTTTGTTGCAGGTGCTACATGCTACAATGGTGAAGCAACTTGAGATTACAGAGTTACTGGAGAATCTGCAGGAGTCCAAGTTCCGTGTAAGTCTCTTTGCAATATTTTTGTATTGTGAACGACACATTAATAAATTGATTGATTACTGGTTTACGTGTGTCTCCCATTTTCTGAAATTAAAATCATTTGATGCACAATTAGATTATGTTATTGGCTAATTATCAATATGAGTTGTCGGTATTATTTATACTAATTAATGGGTATGACGTTGATTTGATTAAAAAGATCAATGAGTTTAGTATCTCAAGTCCCAATTTGAGCTCGTCAGCTTTGTTTCGTTCTGAAAGAATGAAGTGAAGAAAGGAAAAATTGATCATCCTTTTCTTACTCTAAACACAGGGTGTATGTTATGGATAAGCCTTAACCATGCTTCTGGTTTCCAAATGTTGATACATTACTTCATTTTCTTCCCTCTTATCGTTCTGCTTATAATCCGATCTTCGTACTAAAGTTGTGACAGTGGTAAGGTTGTTTTGTTGCAGCATCGAAGGTTGTTTTGTTGAACTATTGAAGATCGAAAACAAGCTACATGGGTGGACTTGGCATTACAGGAGGCTGAAGAACATCAGGGCAGACAATCTTTTCTTTTTTACCTTTTCATAGTGAGTACTTGACATAACCTACAGTTATAACTCTGGGTTGTTCCCCTAAGATATGAGACATTGTAGAGAAAAAAGAAAAAAGAAAAAGCTTAATGCAAAGTTTTTTACAGCGCGGCATCTTTTGTTTCTTTGTTGAAATAACTGTGGCATTATTTTATCTAATAAACAGTAAATAAGCGCACGCCCTAGGCTAGACTTGTTGTGTCCAGATAAAAGACATTTGTTCCACCTACACGGGGCATTTGGAGGAGAAGACTAGAAACACACTCATCAAGCATTCTGTCAAGTACAATGTTGTTGTTGTTGTTGTTGCTCTGTCCTAAGCTTTTCATCTTGACACAGGTTTTACTCTTCAAATAGACAGTATGCAAGTTGCAAATACCGTGACACGCACACAAAATTAGGTTTTTTTTCGAATTGTAAAGCAAAAACACCCCCTTTTGCCCACGCCTCTGTCAATGGTCTTTGATAAATGCCTTTTTTTTTATTTTTTATTTGGGTGCATTTATTTATTTATTTTCATTCAATATACAGTATTTTCCATAGCATATGGAACATGAAACTTGGGTGTGGTTTATGATCTATTTGGTCGATACCAATACCAATACCATTTGCAACAGTGGAAGCTTAATAGAACATAACTATATGGTTTTGAAGGGATTGGACCCTGACCTTTTCTTCATTGCCTTGGGAGATATAACAAGTGAGTCTCCTCAATTTGGTTTTCCAAGTCTGCCTGAAATTAGCATCAAAGATTGTAGTAAAAAAGAATGTGTTTAAGAAAATAAGAACCTATAAATCCAAAAACAGGCAGACATATATATACAGAGAGAGAGAGAGAGAGAGAGAGAGAGAGAGAGAGAGAGAGCACCACTTAATACCTTTAGACGTGGCCTCCAATACAACAAAATAGGAAAGAAAATGAATATTAAGTTTATATATATATATATAAAAAAATGCCGACTATGATGAGGGGCTGGGGCTCCCTTGTTCACATGACTTGTATGAGAGTTTATGACGTTGGGGGTTAGTTGAACCCCACCAAACTTGGTTGTTGAAACTTGAAATACGAACATGAACCATTTAAGGCAAATGGTGGTATGGAAATAAATAAACTCCACTTGTATCTTGACATCAAATATAATTCTTATGTTGTAATAATTTAAAGGGGTTTTTGGAGAATTAAATGGAAAAAAGAAATCATGTAAAGAAACTTACTGGTGGAATGAGGATATACAAACCAAGTAAAAATTATAGAGGGTAGAAAAACAAAAATGAAAATGTTAAGAAAATCCAAAACTGCAAAATAATAAGTTAAAAAAGTAACATAAGAAGACAACAATCTTTATATTTAATTAGGTACCTCATTAGAGGTAATATTGTAAAGGACAAAGTGAGAAAAACACCCTAATGTTTGAATTTGGATAAATATAACCCCTAAAGTTTTTTTTGGGTGCATAATTGGGTTAAATTTGAAAAAATGATCACTATTTGGTTACAAATTTAGCTATGTGCATTGTAGATGACATTTTAAAATATAAAATTCTGAAAATACCTTTTTCTTTTCAATAATGTCCTAAGGAAAAAGAAAAAAAAAAAAAAAAAAAAGACACTTTAGTCATTTCACATTTAATTATTTTTTACCATTTTTTTTTTATTAGATATAGAGGAAAATTTTAGTATTTTCAGCATTCAAGACGTTGTTTGTTCAAAAATTGAATGTTAAGAATTTTTTAGAATGTATAGGGAGTTATACAATCCATATGCATACCATAGAAGTGTTTTTCGCTCGTAACCCTATTGTAAATTTGTGTATATTTGCTTGAACTTTTAAAAATAAAAATATTTTTTATTTTTATAATAAAAAATAAAAAAAGAGAGAGAAAAAATAATAATAACATTTTTTTATATGTAAGGGTATGGGAAGTAGAAAATATATTACTGACAAAAGGTTGAATTGAGTGGTGTGTCCACCTCTTAAAGGGATGTTGATCGAGGAGGATTCAATTCTTGGGCATGTTTGTGCAAGTAATTTTAACGATCATTTAACTAAAAAAAAAAGTAATTTTAACGATCTAAAAAAATATAAAAAATAATAATTGAAGACGACTAAGATGAATACATAAATTGAAACAAATTTAGTTTAAATTTTTAATTATATTTTCTTTAATTCCAATTCTAATTGGATTCATACTTCCAAAAATAGTATTTTAGGATTTTAGGTTCACGTGGTATTCCTCAATAGCCTAGTGAATTTGTGGATTCAGTGAATTTTGGAGTACCAAAAAAAAAAAAAAAAGGGACATTAATAATGATGATGTAGCATGGTAAGGACTATGACACTTTGGAGAGATTTGTTTAACATTTATTAACACTTGATTTTTGATCCAATAATATCTAAATGTCAATCTAAATTCATTTCAAGAGGGTCACCAATAGAAACTATTATTGGACTTGTTGATGAGACTACTAAAAATTTATTTAAAATAACAAATATTTATGATGTTTATATATTTGAAAAGTGCCTGTGATGATGTTAATAGAGATATTAAATGGTGGGACTTGGAGAATAAAGGAATCAAAATAGTTGTAAAGAAACAAATGAATCTTTGTAATTAAATTTAAGCTTATTCACAAACACAAATGGAATATAAAAGTGGATCTGTAATGAAGTGAATCAATGGTCAAAATAATATAAAATAAATAAAAGAAAAAAAATTGTTAAAGAATTAAATGTCCTTTAACAATTGTTTTACTTTTAAAAAATTCAAAATTTAAATTATTTTGAGTATTTTGAATTGAAATAAAAATATCATGTTTCTTCTCTGCTGCTTCTGCTTCCACTTACATTTCAGGTGTGTGTCTGTGTGTGTCAATTCTTAGGAACTGTCTCCGTATACACCAACACACAGTCACACACTATAGCAGTATGTAATTATATGTGTGTTTGGTGCAGATGACCATTTCCACGCAGTGTTTAGTAAATAATATACTTTCAATTCGTCATATGATTTATGTTCCTCTCAGTTATTATCCTCAGTGTTTCGCATTGTGTTCACACTTCACAAGTTGAATGGTCAGACCTAGGTCAAATAAATATGATATATGTGCTTTTCATGGGAAAAAAGAAATATATGTGATTTATGTTGCTTCTTGGCTCCAGGGATCTCAGACCACAGTCCCATCTTGGTTTCCTTGAATTTCAACATCCCAAAAAGGAACATCCCATTCAGGTTTTTCAATGCCTGGAGCAATCATCCCTTTTTCCTACCATCAGAGGCACAACAACGTTCCAATGTGTCCACAAACTCAAATTGTGTTCAGCAAGTGTGGCAAACTTACATCAGAGGCACAACAATGTTCCAATGTGTCCACAAACTCAAATTACAGGAAAAAAGCCCTCAAAACTAACTGCAAAAAGAAATTCACAGATATTGACTTGAAGCTACATGCAGTCAAATTGGAGCTCGATGCTTGCCAAACTGACCTTGACACAGATCCAAGTAATGAAGAACTCAGACATATGGAAAAAAATTTAACAAGTGAATATCTAAGGTTGGCCAAGCACCAAGAAGACATGATGAGGCAGAAATCAAGAATAACTTGGCTAAAGTTGGGTGACAGTAACACCTCCTACTTCCATAAATCCCTCTCCTCCAGAAATAACAGAAAGAAAATTGTATCTCTCACCACTGAAAATGGTCAGGTCCAAACAGATTGTGAAGCCATCAAGTCTGAAGTTGTAAATCACTTCAAGAACCTGCTTGGTTGCTCTCCCCCTACTACTCATAGCATCTCTGATCTGCAGCCCTTCTTTACCAAATTGGTTCCTGACCACCTACACAGTATTTTGGATGGCATTCCTGCTAATAGTGAAATTCAGCTATGTATGTTCAGGCTCAGCAAGGATAAAGCCCCCGGCCCTGATGGTTACAATGCTGCATTCTTCCAAAGAGCTTGGGAAATTGTGGGGAACTCTGTTACCAAGGCAGTTGCTGAATTCTTTAGGAATGGCAAAATGTTGTCTGAAGCAAACAATACTTACATTGCTTTGGTTCCAAAATGAAAAAATCCAACCTCCATACATGACTACAAACCAATATCTTGCTGCAACTCCATCTATAAATGCATATCCAAAATTCTGGCATCCAGGTTACAGCTTTCTCTACCATACATTATTGATATGGCACAATCAGCCTTTATAAATGGGAGGAAGATCACAGATCCCATTCTTCTAGCTCATGAGCTATTAAGAGGTTACCACATTGAGTCCTCCACTGCCAAATGTGTTATCAAGATAGATCTAAAGAAAGCATTTGATTCAGTCAAATGAGATTTTATCCTAAGTTGTCTCAAGCTACTTAACTTCCCAACCAAGTTCATCTCACTATTACAGGCTTGCTTCACTTCACCCTCTTTCACCATTGCCCTCAATGGAGAATTCCAAGGGTTTTTCAAAGGTAAGAGGGGATTAAGACAAGGTGATCCCATCTCTCCCTTCCTATTTGTTATTGTCATGGACACTTTATCATCCATCATTAATGAATATGTAAGGAGAGCTCACACATTCAAATTCCATTGGAAATGTGGTGCATTGAAGATCACTCACCTCTCCTATGCTGATGACCTCTTTCTGTTTTGTCATGGAGACATCACCTCAGTATCAGTGTTGAAATCTGCCCTTGATCACTTTTGTTGTATGTCAGGTTTGGACATCAATCTATCCAAGAGCAATGTTTACTTCTCTGGAACTGATCCTCACACTGAAGCTGCAATTACAGCCATGCTAGGAATTGGGATTGGATCCCTCCCAGTCCAATACTTAGGTGTTCCACTCATATCCACCAACCTCAAATTAGGCCATTGCAGCATACTTATTGAAAAGATCACAAACAGGATTTCACATTGGTCTTCAAAGTCACTCTCCTATGCAGGCAGACTCCAACTTATCAAGGTTGTATTGGTCTCAACACAAGTATACTGGGCAAGCATCTTCATCCTACCCAAAGCTGTAATCAATGAGCTCAACAAAATATTTAGGTTTTTCCTCTGGTCAGGTCATGAAATGAAATCCACAGGAGCAAAACTTACTTGGAGTAAAGTTTGTTTACCTAAGAAGGAAGGGGGTTTTGGCATTCCAAACTTGGAAATATCAGACAAAGCTGTCATCCTAAGGTATATTTGGGATCTTCATTCAAACAACCATGACAGAATTTAGATCACTTGGTGTAGGGTTCACCTCATCAAGTCAAGAAACTTTTGGACAATCAACTTCCCTCACCCTTGCTCTTGGAGTTGGAGGAAGATTTTGCAGCATAGGCACATTAATAGACAGCTTCTTAAGCACAGGATTGGCAATGGCTCAGGGACCTCATTTTGGTTTGATAACTGGTCCTCAGGTGGACCTCTCTACAATCGTTTTCCACTAACAATTCTTACTGATGCAGGTTTTAATGAATCAACCACAGTCGACACCTTCATACAAAACTCATCTTGGTCATTTCCTACAAGTCTTACATCTGCCATTCCTGAGTTATTATTTCAGCCCTCGCCATGTTCTTCAAGAAGTGATAGCAAGATATGGCTAGCCTCCCCAAATGGCGAGTTCAGTTTTAAGCACATAGCATTCTTCATCATAGAGCACTCGCAAGCAGTCCATTGGCACAACCTAGTTTGGATTTCTCCTACAATCCCTAGGATGAAATTCAATCTATGGTTAGCTGTGCAATCCAGGTTACCTACCATTGATAGCAGATCAATGTCCAACCACATCAACCTTTGTGCTCTATGTCAATCACAATCGGAATCACACCAGTATTTATTCCTCACGTGTTGTTTTGTGTCTCCTATCTGGTGATTCATCAAAATCAGGTGTAACTTCTTCATTGTTATCACTAACTGGGAAGATCTTATTCAATTGATGTTTACGCAATGGAAACAGAACTCCCCAGTAAATCTTCATCGCAAATTATGTTTCTCATCCATAGTTTATCATAATTGGGAGGAAAGAAATGAAAGAATTTTCAGAGGGAAGAGATCATCTCAAAGAATGGTGCTCGCTCGAATCACAGCAACTATCACTGCAACACTCAAATTGGGATTCTTGCAAGACTGTGCCACGTCGAAGAAGATCCTCTCAGATTGGAATCTTTCCCCGACTTGCTGCCGTCCTCCTCCAAGGCCACCAGACTGACAATTTCTCCGATCATCATCTTCGCTAGGGCTACTCACCGGATTGTTCCCTAATACCCCCAATTAACGGCCAAACAAGCCGTTAATTTCAGTTATTAGGTTGAAACTGGGCCTTCCCTTATTGGGCCAATTTTTGGCTTTTGTTATTTCTTCTTTGGTATTATCTACTTTCTTAATAAATTTGCTTTATTTTCCAAAAAAAAAAAAGAAAGAAATATGCCAGGTTGAACGAAGAAGTGTTGATGAAAGTTCGAAAAGGGATGAGATTATTTCACGGTATGTAAAGAATACCAAGATCAAACCCTAGTAACTCGAGCTCGAAAGCTATTATGTTGGCGAGTAGGCTTTTTGGTCTGTCTCTATGACTAAATATTGCTCCTATTTATACTACTTATCTACCTGGTTAAAGACTTTCGATCACGAGGATCGGTCCTTTTTTGCCCAGGAGGCTAATGACCTTTCTCCTAATGGAACACCGGTAGTTGGCCCGAGGCAAACCTATGCCTCTATTCGAGGAGGTAATGATGCTTCACATTTAATGCGGATCCTATCAACATGTTGGCGCATTTAAGGCACCGTCCATCCTTCCTGCCAAGAGCACGATTACAAGTAATAAACATCATTTCCCCCCTGTGCTGACCTTGAAGTGAGGCGATTCCTTAAACCCCAGCCATCTGTCCACTGATTCTTGGATTCCCGAAGTCAGAGATGAGAAAGAGGGACTTATCCGAGGTTCTGCCTTCTGAACCCCCGAGGCTCCATCCTAGCTCCACACCTGGAGTTCTTTATCCGGGGAGCTCGAGGTGGGAAGTTTTTCTTTGGTTCAGAATTCCTTTTGTAGGAGGGAGCTTCGAAGATAGGAAAAGGTGGGACCCATCCAATTGGAGCGAGATACCTTTACAAGAGAGTAAATGGGAGCGACCCCTTCATTGCATAGTATTTTACAGTTCTAGGACTAATCGATCGAGATCACCAGTCATTTCAGAGAAATGCCAGGCAAGTCCTGACATGGTCCACTTAGCACTGTCCGGGTGTGTCCTTTGGTAATAAATAATGCCACATGGGATGCTGATGTGGCATGATTATTTACGTAAAGTCGTAAACAAATGAATCCTTATAATTAAATTTAAACTTATTCGCAAAACACACAAATGGATATAAAAGTGGATTTGTAAAGAAGTGAAAATCAAGTGTCAAAATAAAATAAAATAAATAAAAGAAAAAAATATTGTTAAAGAATTAAATTTCCTTCAACAATTATTTTACTTTTTAAAATTTCAAATTTGAAATTATTTTGAGTATTTTGAATTCAAAAAAAAAAAAAATGATCGATGATTACTTTGATGAAAGTTTTTTTATTTTTTTAGCTCAAAAAAAATGAAAAATGTATCATTTTGACTAAACAAAATCTTACCAACTTTAACAATGCATAATCAGGAAGAATGATACAAAGAAGTATTTTAAATATTTTAAAAGTAGTAGCAGAACTAAAAATACTAACATAGACTATATAAATTATAAGATCATTGTTATTGTTGGCATACGTGTCACCTGCACGTGCCAAACAAGAATTTTGAACCGTTTATTTTTATTTTTATTATCTTATTACATTGTCCTGTCCAAACTAGGAAAGGTAAAGATGAAAATAGAATCGATTGATCTGTGTTGCTCCTCCAACTCTTCCTCCTCAGTGCTCGTGATTCTGTTTTTGTTCCTCTTCTCTGCTGCTTCTGCTTCCACTTACATTTCAGGTGTGTGTCTGTGTGTGTCAATTCTTGGGAACTCTCTCTGTATGCACAAACACACACTATATCAGTATGTATTTATATGTGTGTTTGGTGCAGATGACATTTTTGGGTCTGGCGCTTCCACCGGACGTAACCTGCTTCAGGCCAAGAAAGGTTTCTCTTCTTTTCAATTACAGCCTCTTCTACACAATTTATATGCATATATATTGAAATTATTTTGGGGTTCAATTATAGTGCATTTATCTTCCAGAATTTCATGACATTGAGCCAGCCTCTTCTGGTACTGTATATAATTTGTGTGAATTAATTAAATTAATGACATTGAAAGAGAATATGTAAATAAAACCATGCCATATTTTTTTAAGAAAAAAAAAAGAAAAAAAAAGAAAAAAAAAGAAGAAGAAGCAAACATGCTAGTTCTAAAAGGCTTCTATACCATAGTGAATTCAATGAACTCATCGTTTGATTAAAGTAAATAAATAACCCTTCTCTAAAAATTGTACCTACAAATGCATTGCGGGTACAAACAATGATCGATGTTTTAAAATTTTGTGTTGGATTAGGCCTACTTGACAACCACTGTTGCTTTATACTTTTGCTTTGAAGCGAAGCTGAAATAATATTTTCGCTTTAGAGTGTGTTCAACATTATTTCAAAAATTGTTTAGTAACGTAAATTTGTTACAAGATTTTTGGATGCAAAAACGTGAAAGCATATTTGGTAAAAAGTGTTGTAAGTTTGAAAAATTGAATGACTAGTTAAAAATGTTAATTTAGAAGATTTTTTTTTTTTGAACCGTGCTTTCCTACAGTACGTGTGGAAGCAAACAAAAAGTATTATTTTGATGCTTCTGATTTTGGCCTCAATTTTAGAAGCATTTCGATACTATTCAAATGACAACAATCGTTACCAAATATGCTTCATGTTTTTGCTTTGCTATAGTACATTAGCAAAAGCAAAAAACACGAAGCAAAAATATTAGTCAAACAGGCCCTTAATGATAGACTTATAGTCATGTCAGTCATCAACAAAAACCTTCTATCATTTTCCTATCTGAAATGATTTTAGATTAGATTTTCAGGTAACAATGGCCTAACAATACCTTGATTCATGTGATTTGCAGCTTGCCCTGTGAGCTTTGAGTTTCTGAACTACACAATTTGAGGATATCAAAGACGGATTGGACCAGACCCGACTCGCGAGTGAATGATCAGGTTGGATGGTAGGTCCGAGCCCAAGCAAAAAGGGTAGCGTAATAAACCCAACACCCACGAACGAAGGATCGGACCGAACAGTTTAACCCAGCCCATAACGCAACACTGAAAGTCAGACCCAAAAGGAAGAAAGCCCTTGAATAAGAGCCCTATGTAATAAGTTGGTTAGAGTATTTGTAATGGTCTATAAATAGACCATTACGAGTAGAGAAAGGAGAAGATGATTTTTTGGAATTTTCATTTTGTTGAAGTGTAAGAATTCTAGAGAGAGAAAGATGAGTGAATCTCTTGCATCTTCAATTGGCGCCGTCTGTGCGAAAACGTTAAAAGCTAATTCATGTTTGATCAACGTCATGTTGATTCCGACTGATTGATGATGACGAAGCTTGATTTGTAGAAGTTTAGTCTAGATCTAAGAGATTGCGGTTGGTTCTTGAGAGATTCTGGATTCTTGATTGATTCTGAGAGATTGGTGTTAGGTTTATGCAGCCGTGATTCACTCTATTGCGGCTCGATCCGACAAGCTCAGACGTCGAAAAAACTCTGATCTATCGAAAAGAAAGCAAAACTCGTAAAATTGGAATTCAGATCTGCCGTGATTCGCGTCAGCGAGACTCCGATCTAACTTAGAATTTACGATTCACGCCTTTGCTCCATTCTGGAATGATGACTGGGGGTAAGCACTCCAATACGGTAGAGAATGTCCAGCATATGAAACTTGATGAGTTGATGAGCATGATCGAAGCTCTCAGAAGAGAGAATGCTGATTTAAGGACTGAAATGCAGCGTTAAGAAGTTTCGGTGATTCTGCGACCGCTCCAGGCGGGAGAACAAGTTGCACGTACCGATGCGGCACATCACGGCGAGGAGGAAGGGAACAATCTGACAGATCTTCACCGCGAGGAAGTCCGGCCAAACGATTTGCCGCCAAATCCTTGTCGTATTGATGATCGTGAAGGATCAACTCACGTGGATCCACGGCGTGAGTAAATCAGGCGAAACGAAGCCATGACTTTTGATCCACATCATGAAACGCTCAGCCGAGGTGAAGCAATGGAGTTTGCTCATCACAAAGCTATGCCTCCATGGCACAGAGAGTTTGTTGAGGACAAATCATTCGATCCGACTTATCGGCCTTCCATGGCGACGTTCAACTATCGCGGCTCAGAGAGGAGATCTGTAGACCAGAGAGTAACCGCGGGGTTCCAGAGAGAAAATGAAGCACTCCGTTCAGCAGCTCGAACGGTTAATTCACCGTTCACCGATGAGATTCTGAATGCTCCGAGTCCGAGGAAATTTTTCATGCCCGTTTTCATTCTGTTCGACGGAACGACCGATCCGATCGATCATGTGTATCACATCTAGTTGAAAATGGCTCTGAACACTGAGAATGACTCCTTGATGTGCAAGTGCTTCCCTACAAGTCTAGCTGGACCAGCGCTCAATTGGTTTAAGAACCTGTCGAGGGGCTCAGTGGACAGCTTCCGAAGCTTGTGTGATCGGTTCATAAGCCAATATTATGGAAAAAGCGTCCAGCAAAGGACATTTTGAGCCGATTCACAATGAAACAGCATGAGGATGAGCGTCTCCAGGCTTTCCTAACTAGGTTTAACCTTACTAAGAGTATAGTGATTGAATGTCATCCTTCTACCGTGGTTCAAGCGTTTATACTGGCCATGACTCGTGGCACTCCATTCCACACAAGCTTGGTCGTGAATACGCCGAAGACTATGGATGAACTTAACGAAAGAGCTGATGGATTTGTGTACTTGGAAGAAGAAGAGGCAGCTAAAGCTCAGAAGACATCCGTCATATCCACAGAGGAGAAAACCAAAGCAGATTCAGGCACAGCGTCAGACCTCGTGGAAATCTGAGAAGAGGCCCAGGGAGGAAGAGTTGGTTACTCCGTTGAAAGTCACCTTAGCAAGGCTGTACTAAGAAAATAAAGATAAGTTCCGATCTCCTTTACCGATCAGACAACCCCTCGAGCAGAGGGATCAGTCTAAGCATTGTACATTTCATTATGACTTTGGCCATCAGACTAATGAATGCAGGAACTTAAGGAGACAGGTAGAGATACTGATAGCCAGAGGGGAGTTCGTCAGTTATATTCAAGACCCGGCGGTGGAACAGAACTGACCAATAGAGCACGTGAAGAGGAATCAAAAGTCGAACTCTCACAATGCGCAACCAGTTCGAATAATCAATGCAATTCACAGTCGGCCTGAGCCTACTGAGGAGTCAGAAGAACTGCTTCGAACACGCCTTCGCCAGGCACGGATGAAGAGGAGGATAGGCAGTGTCAACAATTTGCACCAACAGAGCGCATCAACACAGATGAAGTTTGACAGAACAGATCTATTGCATGTTCAGATCCCTCATGAGGACCCGTTGGTCGTCAGTTTGACAGTAGCCGAATGTTTGGTACGCAGAGTTCTGATTGATCCTGGAAGTAGTGCGAACGTCATGCCGAGGGACACATTTGATCGACTCGAGATCAAGCTGGATCGGCTCAAGCCCACTGGAAATCCCTTGCTAGGGTTTGATGCAAAACGAGTGGAGCCCATTGGTATGGTGGAGGTAGCAGTACACGCTACAGAGAGGGTTCTGATGGAGACCTTTGTAGTTGTCGAGATTCATCCCTCTTACAATCTTCTGATGGGCAGAGGGTGGATCCACAGAGTTCAAGGTGTTCCTTCCACTCTGCATCAAGTAATGAGATGCCTGGGGCCAGACGGAACCAAGGTGATTGACATTCATGGGGACCAGGTTGCAGCTAAGGAATATTATTCAGTAACACTGAAGTATGCTGGAAAAGGGAAAGCTCCCATTTGTTCGGCAAGCCCGAGATAGCAATTACAGGAGCCTCCCCCCAAGCAGAGTGGGGAGGAGGAGCCAGTGGACTTGACCGAAGAACCCCTGGTTGATGTGCAGATCGATCGGTTCCGACCAGAACGAACAACCAGAGTGGGGGAACGACTCGCCGTGGAGGAGAAGCAGAAGTTAGTTAAGTTCTTGTCTCAAAGCGCCGATGTATTTGCATGGAGCCACCTAGACATGCCTGGAATCGATCCTTCTGTATCCTGTCACTCCTTGAACGTAAATCCCAATGCAAGACCTGTAAAGCAGAAGTAGTGAAGGTTTGCTCTAGAGCGTAACCATATCATAGCCGAGGAGGTTGGCAGGCTACTTGATGCGGGATTTATAAGAGAAGTGTATTATCCTGACTGGTTGTCAAAGTTGTTGTTGTGCAGAAGAAGAATGGGAAATGGTGAGTGTGCATTGATTTCACCAATTTAAACAAAGCATGTCCGAAGGATAGCTTTCCGCTGCCGAAAATTGATCAAATGGTGGATGCTACTACTGGATATAAGCGTTTAACCTTTTTAGATGCTTATTCAGGTTATAATCAGATCCCCATAGACCCCGCTGATGAAGAGAAAACTTCTTTCGTTACCGAGCGCGGGACCTATTGCTACAAAGTCATGCCATTTGGACTGAAGAACGCCGGAGCAACTTACCAAAGACTTATTAGCAAAATTTTCAAGGCTCAAATAGGGAAGACCATGGAAGCTTACATTGATGACATGGTAGTAAAAAGTAAGAAGAAAGTTGACCATCTGAAACATCTACAAGACGTATTTGACGTGTTAAGGCACTACGGAATGAAGCTCAATCCAACTAAATGCTCATTCGGCGTGAGTTCTGGTCAATTCCTGGGACACGTGGTTAATCATAGAGGCATAGAAGCTAGCCCAGCCCAAGCAGAAGCTTTGACTAAGAATGCCGAGCCGACAACAGTCAAGGAAGTGCAAACTCTTACGGGACGGATCATAGCATTGAGCCGATTCATTTATAAATTGTCAGATCGTTACAAACCATTTTTTGACACAATACGAAGCCACGGTAGACAAGTTTGGGGGGATGAACAGCGCTTAGCATTAACTAGTCTGAGAGAATATATGCAGAATCTTCCGGTTCTGTCAGCTCCAGAACCAGGAGAAAAACTATTTTTATACCTCGGGGTGTCCAGCATCGCGACAAGTGGCATTCTAATCCGTTGTCCAGAGGGGAAGCAATGTCCAGTGTTTTGTGTTAGCAAAACGATGACTGAGGCCGAACGACGTTATTCAAAGGCCGAGCGGGTAATACTCTCGCTAGTGCATGCGAAACGAAAGTTCAGGCATTACTTTGAATCCCATCCTATCATCGTTCTAACCACCTTCCCTATTAGAATAATCCTGCACAAGTCAGACCTCTCAGGAAGAATGACGAAGTGGGCCATAGAGTTAAGCTCATTTGACATAGCATATGAACCCAGAACGGCAGTCAAAGGGCAAGCAGTGGCAGATTTTTTACTAGAATGTGATTCAGAAGACATGGAGGAAGACCTTCGTGGTTGTTTGTGGAAACTCTTCGTCGACGGATCCTCAAATCAGATGGGGGCAGGCATTGGGATCAAACTGCAGACACCAGAAGGTACGTCCTTGAGCCAAGTGCTCCGGCTTGAATTCAGAGCCACCAATAATGAAGCGGAGTATGAAACACTGCTGGCAGGACTTAAGCTTACCAAGGAGTTGAAGGTCAGGAATTTGACTGTCTTTAGTGACTCGCAGTTAGTGGTTCGGCAGGTGAATGGCGAGTATGAAACCAAAGATGAAACAATGGAGGCCTATCATTCTGCTGTTATGCGGGAAGCCAAATACTTCGAAAAAATTGAATTCATTCAAATACCGAGAGAGCATAACGAAGATGCCGACCGGCTAGCATGTAGTGCCTTGGGTTCTGGAGAAACATTGGCAAGGGTGATTCCAGTAGGAATATTAAACCAGCCATCCATTTTTGAAGAACCTTTGGGCCCAGATCCTTAGCAAGTGAATGTTATTCTATATGAGCCAAGTTGGATTGATTCGATCATAACTTACATCAAGAATGGTACTCTGCCTGAGTAGCGAGATGAGGCTGGGAAAATCAAATCGAATGCTGCAAAATACGCCATGGTGCATAACTAGTTATACCGAAGGTCTTTTTCTGGGCCGTACTTAAAGTGCGTCACCCCCACAAAGGCTTGGCAGATACTGCGAGCTATTCATGAAAGTGTATGTAGAAACCATTCAGGGGGAATGTCTTTAGTGCACAAAGGAATGACGCAAGGGTACTTCTGGCCGAACATGTCACGAGATGCGGAATAATTGTCCAGAAGGTGTGATAAGTGCCAAAGGTTCGGACCACTGATTCACCAACCACCTGAGGATTTGCACATAATGGCCACACCATGGCCTTTCGCACAATGGGGGATGGATGTGGTTGGTCCTCTGCCAACTGCAAGAGCTCAGAACAAGTATGTGCTGCTGGCTACAGATTACTTTACTAAGTGGGTGGAAGCAGAGCCGTACCCGAGCGTAACTTAAACTCATGTGAGACGGTTCATTTGGAGTAATATTATTTGCCGGTTTGGTATTCCAAGGTCAATCGTCATGGATAATGGGACCAACTTTGACAGCAAGCAAGTAAGAGAGTTATTGGAGGAATATGGAATTAATCAAAAGCTGGCGGCAGTAAGTTACCCCCAGGCCAATGGACAGGCATAAATCACAAATAGAACAATTTTTGCTTGTATCAAGAAAAAACTTGAAGAGAAGAAAGGGAAATGGTTAGATGAACTGCCGAACGTCCTATGGGCTTACAGAAAGACCCTAAGGTGACCGACCGGAGAAAGCCCATTCGCCATGGCGTATGGTACCGAGACAGTTATACCGGTCGAGCACTTGGTTCCGACTGTTCGAAGCTTGGCATG